ATTGAAATTATAAAGATGTAACAATACAAAAGGTTGTCATCTATCAAAGCTAAGCAAGACTTAATCCAAATTCTGTACTGTTAGAAAGTAAATCTTGGGGCAAAGTATTTTGCTGTATTGTGAACTGATTTGAAACATGAGAATTCCACAAATCTCAAAGTGATAGAACAGTTGTTGAACTGCTGGTAACTGCTGAAGTAGCATAAAATATTATAGTTTATAGTAAACAAATTAAGTCAGCCGTATGCAGTAGAGCTAGTAAAAGAAATGTGCTGACTTGGCTACGTGTCCTTTTCCGCATGAGAGAAAGGGGCGGCAGACTTGGAGGGCGCGCCTTGGCAGAGCCTACACGCAGGACAGAGAGCTCTAGGTCTGTCTGCTGAGCAGAGGATTCTCTAGTTTTGTCTGTATGTAGCTGCAAATGGAACACTTTAAGCTTCAGAATTCAAATACGACAAACTGGACTTAACTCAGAATCTTTGTTCTGTATGTGTTGCTAAATCTCAGAATCTAAAGTGGGTCATTAACTTAGTGTTTCCCCTGACCCTGTAAGTGCAGTTCACCTCCTTCTAGTTGGATGACTTATAGTGGGCTGACATTTGTCCACAACCGCCACACAGTTGTGGTGCCAGTTTATTTTTATGTGTGTGTGAGTGTGTGTGTATGTTACCAGGGATCAAGCTCAGGACTTCCACTGAGCTATCTTCCTGGCCCTTTCTTTTTTCTTTTTTTTTTCTTCTCTTTTTCTTTTCTTTTCTTTTTTTTTTTTTTTACTTTTAATTGACACATAATAATTGCCCTTTTTCATCAGTGCTGAGAATTGAACCCAGAACCTTCATACTGAGCTACACCCCAGGCCTTTTTTTAAAGTTTGAGACAAGATCTTGCTAACTTACTAAACTTCCCAAGGTGAGCTCAAACTTGTGGCCCTCCTGCCTCCCCCTCCCACAGTGCTGAAATTACAGGCAAGTGTCACCATACCCAATTCAATTGTGCATAATTTTGAGGTACAAAGTGGTATTTTGATACATGCATACAATGTAGATGGTCAAATTGAAATAATTAGCGTTTCTATCACTTCAAACTTAATGTGTTGAAAACATTCAAAATTTTCTCTTGCATCTCAAAGTACCCTGAGTCATTAACTGTAGCCACTGTACTGTGAACACCAGAGATTATTTGTCCTATCATAATGGATTTTGATACTTACCCATTCTATTGCGCTCTTACCCTTCCCAGCCAAAGGAATTTTCTTTATACGTGAATATGTATTTTATTTGAAATAAAATGAACCCATGTCATTTTAAATACTAGTTAATAAGTATGTGACTTAAGCACAGCCTTCAGGGCTCCCTTAGAGTGCGGTGGGCAGTGTAAAGGGGCAGTTAGATCTGAATCCTAAGTAACTCTGACACATACATCTCATCTTATGATGGTGTAATCATTTGTCGCTAGTTTCTTATCTCCAGAAACAGTTATTCTTGTATTTTTGTTTCGTTTGAGATGGGGTCTTGCTAAGTAGTTCAGGCTAGCCTTGAACTCACGGTGTAGCCCGGGTCAACTTCATACTCATGGTGAGCCGCCTGCCTCAGCCCCCGAGCTCTGGGATTGCAGGTGTACATCACCACACCTGACTCACAAGACTTGCTTGAGTGCCTCATCTATATCAGGAGCCATGCCTGGAGCTGGAGCAGGGAGCAAGGCAGCTGTGATCCCTGGACATCACAAGGCAGTACTGTGGGAGGTCGGAGCATGCTGTGCAGCTCGCTGAACCTGTGGGGACACTGGGGCCTGCGCCCAGCTGGAACGGTGAGGGCTCTACGTAGATGGCACTCAGAAGATTTAGGATGCCACAGGTAGAACTTGAACGCTTAGGTGTGGAGGTAGCAGGAAGGATCAGGGATAATGGATAACAAGTGTGCTAAGTTTGGGTACTTCATGTAGTTCTTTCATGCTTTGGATGTGATACTGGTTGACTGTCCTCAGTGGAATTTTGCTTTTGCACTAACCCATTAGTACACAACCCTCCTTTTTAGTTTTACTTTGCCTACAAAGTACCTGATCCAGAGATGGCTTTCCCAGCGACCTGAGGGCATGGGAGTGCCAGAGCCCAGAGCCACCTCCTTGCAGGCCCATAAACAACCAAAACAGATGGGCAGGTCCTTGAGACTCAGCCTCATAACCTCCCCACCATCTGCTTCCCAGAAGTCACTGTTTTCATGGATCTTTTTCAGCTTCTTATTCTGGTATTTACCTTGATTTCTATGCACCATATATGCATGGCTCTCAAATTACCAGCTTCAAGGATAACGTAGTCACTCTCTGTTTTCATGAGTTCAGCTTTGTTGCCCGTCTCTGATCCTTCTCTCCTAATGTAGTTACATCAGAATACTGGCCCCATCCTGGGCACTCTGAGCCCAAGTCCGGCGTGGTGGCGCATACCTGTGATCCCAGCCCTAGGGAGGCTGAGACAGGAGGATCACTACGAGTTCAAGCTGCATAGCAAGACCCTGTACCAAATAAATAAAGATGTCTTTAATTTAAAAAAAAAAAGATTTTGAAGACATTCTTTCCATATGTTCTTATTCAAATGCTACAGTTCAGAAGTTACTTTACATTCTGCTTTTTTGCATTGCAAAAATAAGCAGGATCATAGGTTCAAACCCAGCCTGGGCGAAATAGTGAGACCACGCCTCAAAATAAAATATAAAAAAGGAGCCAAGGGTGTAACTCAGTGTGAAGGCACTGGATTTGCTGCCCCATATCATCTCTCTCTCTCTCTCTCTCTCTCTCTCTCTCTCTCTCTCACACACACACACACACGCGCGCGCGCACGCACACGCATGCACACGCACGCACTTTTTATTTCTGGTAGTCTTACATTCCCACAATATGAACTCTTCTTCCATTCACTACGCTGATAACTTGTGGATTTTTTTTTGTTTGGAACTCAGTTCCACAAGATTTGGTTTGTGTTACATGCCTGGTCATTTCTACGTCTTTCTCTCTGCTCTTCTTGGGGGGATCGTGTTGTTCTGTACAGCGATTGGATGCAAGTTTTAAAAGCTTGTTGGTACCGGCAATGAAGCCCTCACACTGAGCTGCATCTGGACCCTTCAGTCATTTTCAGACAAAGTGTTGCTCGTCGCTGCGCTGCCCAGGAAGGGCTGATTCTGTGAGTTAGACCCAGAGATGAGCCTAGTAGTTCTGTCAGCGACAGGCACCGGACAGATGGCAGTGGCCGGCAGTGGCGGCAGGCTTCCGCGCAGTGCTCCTCTCATCTGTCACGAGGCCAGCGCGCGGCCTCCACGGCAGCTTCTTGGAGGCTTGGCCGAGGGCTCTGAAGGGAGTTGGGTAGCACAGTAAGCTCCTTCCTACAGGCTGAGCCCAAAGCTGGAAATCCATTTCCCGTGCTGGCCGGATCCCTGAGTATTTCTGTTCTGCCCAAGCTGGCTCACCAGGCAGTTTTTACACAACACTCTTAATAGACTTCAGTAATATCAGATTTGCTTCAAAAATTTGAATATAGAACTTTCCACTATAAAATTTCTGGGGGAAAATTAAAAGTCCTAACAATAAATCCTTTGTAAATTAAAGCCCATTAAATTTTACTGCTTGTGAAACTCCTAATGTTTTGTCCGGTTAGTCTCAGAGAGTTTTTGATGCCTGGTTAGAATCAGAATTTTTTCTGCAACTTCAGCAGTCTTAGCTGCCAACCCTTGGGTGTAGACGTTTCTGGCTCAGCACCTCAGAGTATCTGTTCTATGCCGAGTCACTTACAAGCTTCACTGTTGTTTATAAAGGAAAATCCAAAGAGTTAATGTGACATGTAAGATTATCCCAGCACTGGCTATAAAAAAGAAAAGTGAACACAACCCCTGCGAAGGTCACTGTGGACGGAACCGCATTCCTGGAGCAGTCTTTCCTTGTTCACTACCACAGCAGGTAGTGCGTGCATCAGAATGTGGACGGTGAATAGGAAAAATCCTCATTCCAGGTTCCACAGGATAGTTCTCTGCTGTCAAATTACACTCTGTTTGCTTGGTAAGCATAGAGTAGAAGGGAATTGTTAGATAAACATGATTCCATTGTTTGATATCAGCAGTGGCAGCCAAGTCCAAAAGCCATGTCTGTTAGATCAGATGCTTGTGTTAGCTTGACAAGGTCCATTCTCCTGGGAATGTGTGTGATGGGTGGTGGGAAGGGTCCATTCTAACCCCAGAACTCTGAACCTGGTCTGCTTTCTGTTTAAGTCTACATTACTGAGTTCCTTCCCTTATTCCATGACATTTCACCTCTCCTGCAGTGAGATTCACCTGCTTCCCGTAGTGCTTGTGGCTCGTTTCGAGCCCGCAGGCTTCTGAGACAGGGCAGGTATAGCTGCTGGGCATGTAACAGCAGCAGTTTTGCCCTCCTGCCTCTTTGTTTTGTTTTTTTCATTTATAAAAAGTGGAAATGCCAAAGTTTTATTTGCCAGGGATTAGGAGGAAAACATCAGTGAAATAAATCTGACAACATGACTCACACAAATGATTTTTTTCCCTCCTGCCTCTTTGGTACGAGGGAGCTCCCCAGCTGGGTACAACCAAGTCAGACTTTAATTCGTACAGTGGTACCTTGGTTCACGAAGTCACCTCTCTCCACGATTCTGGTCACACACCAAACTAGAACCAAATCAGATTTCCACATAAGGTCAGCATTGAACCTAACCACTGAATTTGATTCCGCTCTTGTGCAACTCAGTCGATGACCAGAATCCCGGGAAGCATTGAGCCTGCGGACTGAGGCACCTAACTGTTCGCAGTTCTGGCATCATGAACTATTGCTTGGAAACTCATTTTCTTCTTTCTCATAGAAAGAGAGCTGCATAGGACCAATATTTTGGGGGGTCTTCCTTAAAGCAGTTTGTGTTCAGTCTTTCTTCAGGAAAAATACTAGAGCCAAATTGGAAGCCTGTGTGAATGGGTATCAAGCAGTGACCTCTGCCTTTCTTCCTGTAGGTTTCTCAAAATGGAACCGAAGTGCCTTTGACAACTCTTGTAAATTTTATGGACATTACACAGAAGCCAGACCCTCCACGAAGCCAGCCCAGAAGAGACTGGAAACTGCCTTTTGACTTCTTTTTTCCTTTCAAAGTAGCATTCAACAGAGGGGTAGATTCTCAGAAGGACTCACCTTCTCCCCTCTGTATCCTGTGCCTCTTACTGCTTAGAGTTCTCAACCTAGAGACTAAGTGAAGAAATGGAATAGTAAGATTTCAGTTCTCCCTGTGGGCCGCTCTGAGGCAGCCTGCTTACATCATGGCTGTGTAGATCACTGTGCTGCTCATCACTAAAGGAGAGAATTTAGGAAAATATAACCTGAAGGAATCTTTGAGCATGAGAGAAGGTACTTTAGGAAAGCAAGAGCTGGCGATGGTGGCACGCACCTGTAACCCCAGCCCTTAGGAGGCTGAGGTTAGGGGATTGGGTGTTCAAGGCCATCCAGGACTGTCCAGTTAGATCTTGTCCTTAATAAACAGGAAGGAGAGAAGGGCAGTAATAGTGTTTCTCTATAATCGCTACCTGCTGAGGGCTCTGCAGGCCACTAGGTGCACATTAGGTTCTCTGCCAGCCCTTCTGGTTGCGTTTTGCCTGAGTGTAAAGGTTGGCAAGAAAGTCTGCCTGCTTGTAAGCAGTCGTGCCCAGCACGAGGTCCGCGTTTCAGCACTCACCCAGGGTGAACCCAGGACTGACTGCCCTCTGGAGTTGAGCGAGCTGACTGTTGAGGCTAGGAAACTGCTAGCTGTGTGTTTTGTCTAGCTTCTTTGCCAAGGTGGGGCCGCGCCGTCCAGGCATGAGCTGCAAGAGTAATCCTTTCCATTTGGTTTGCAGAATGAGTGTGGAATGCCAGCTCTTCTTTCTGCTAGCAAATAATCTTACCATTCATTTTTGCTCTTCTCTTCATTGTGAGGAGAAAGAAAACATTGGCAGCTTTGTAATACTATGTCCAGCAGCATGGCAAAAATAATACGCCTGTGATGGGCCTCTCAGTTTTTTGTGTTTTTCCTGTGTTTATGATGTTCCAAAAGAAAACTGGCATGGTTGTACACGTCTGCAGTTCCAGCACTCTGGGACACTGAGGCAGGAGGATCACAGGTTCAAGCCCAGCCTGAGTAACTTGGTGACCTAGTGTGGCCCTGTCTCAAAATGTAAAAGGGGCTGGGGATATAGCTCAGTGTGAAGGCCTTGGGCTCAGTCCACAGGCCCACACACAACAAAAAAAGAAAAAAGTATAAATAGCACCGTAGCATTCAAGTAAAGGGACATGGATTCTTCTGGGAGACCCCAAAGGTAGTGACATCAGGAGTAGGTCCAGTATGAAATCTGCCTGTGCAAGGCCATGACAACTTAGGAGGGGCATTGACTTCTTGGCCAACTGAGGGATTCTAGCGTCCAGAAAGAAGGACTTGTAACAGTAATTGTCTATTACTGTTTTTGAGTAGAGAATTGGTAGAAAGCAGGGAGCTTATAGATTCATGCTGTCCTTATGATTAAAAACTTTTGGTGGAAGGTATGTTACTATTTTAAACTGTGAATTCCTTGTATAAGGACCTGAATATTTATTTTTAAAAATGGGATATAATAGAAGAAGCCTACGAAGCCTGGACATGTAGGTCCCAGCGTGTCCATGACCTGGCAGTTTTGGCTCAGGATCACATCTGCAGGGAAGCAGATGCTCAGTGTGGCCTGGACGAGTGGGGACACGCCCTGAGGAGGACTGGAGAGAGGAGCTGGCAGGGCCGCAGGGGCAGGACTAGGAGTGGGTGCGGGGAGGGCGGCCGGAGCTGAAAACCGCTGCGGGACGTCCCAGGGCTTAGGGGCCAGCAGATTGGGGAACTGAAGTGATCGTGGAAACACCGGACGAAGGAGAGGATGGGAACCTGCCAGGTGGGGCTTGAAAGCCTGGCAGTGAGGACTGGGAGACAGTTCATCTTTTCTTTCCCCAAGCAGATCGATACTCCTGACGCTAAAATGATCCTCTAATAGGTACATTAAGGCGTAAACCCTAGCTGATGAACACAAAATGCTCGTGGTAAGCACTGTCCCTGGCTGCCTTGTTTTGATGTGCTTCAGAGTCCCTGGAGGAGGCCGGTCCCTGTGGCAAGCAAGAATCACCAGGCTAGAGGGAGTTTTGGGAGAGCCTGCGGGGGAGGTTGGGGCTGAAGGCGAAGTGCTGTCTGGTCCTCAGTAGAGCGGCTCTGCCTCCAGGGAAGTTGGTGGTAGGCGGACCACAAGGCTTTTAGAATATTTAGGTTCTCCAGGCTTTGTTTTAATAGGAAATAAATGTGCGTGACAAGTCAGCGTAGCTGATAGGGCAGGAGACACAGAGTCCAGTCTTCTCAGAGTCTGGCCCTGCACTCCTTGTTCAGATCCTATTCCCGTGCCCACGTGCTCTGAGACCGTTCTGGCTTGGGGGCAGGGAATTTGGGGACTTGGTTTTGTTTTTGTTTTTGCCAATAGGAAGAGCTAAATTAAACAGTTGCCAGGGTTCAAGGATAATTTTCAGAGGTAGAGATGTAAATGGATGATAAAATATTTCAAGGATGATCATTAGAAAAAGAATATCTATTCTGAAAGTACCACTCTCCAAACTGCTTAACGTTGAGAGAAGACACAGCATATCTGTCCCGTGGACTAATGACATGTGTGCCACTGTTGGCAAGTGACCAGTCCCAGCACCAAGGAGTGAGTCAGTGAGGCGCTAACTGAATGTGGACCTTGTCTTCTAAGGTATTTTGCATATTTAGAAGCTGGGGGGCCATGATTTCTGTTACTATAACCTTTTAGAGTAAAACTGTCCCACACAGTCTGTGGCTGTGAATTCAGGGCTCCTGAAGCATCTCCTGTGTTCTGCTTGGCCTTGAACTTGGTTTACTGTGTGTATCTTTTTCATCAAGTGAAGAAGTTCAGAGGGGTGCAGTCTTCCATCAGCAGTACCGTGTCTCCTCTTACTTCCAGCTGTGCTTAGGACCTGGAATCCAGTGCCTCGTTCTTCGCCATCCTTCGCACTAAAGCTTTCAAGGCTGAATTGGAGGGTGAGGTACCCAAGCAGGTTAAGTCCCAGACAAAGCCTCACAATGACTTAGAAAAAACGCAATCCCTGGTGCTCTTTGCCTCTGGCGCTTCATCTATGCCTATTGATTTTGGGCCTTATGGTGCGGGAACCACATGCTCCTCAGACAGGGAGGCTGTACTTGGGAGACCTGGGAGGTCAGGCAAAGCCTGACGACAGGAAAAGCTGAAACCTTTTGCTTCCCATGAGGCCTTCCTTCATCACTTCCTTCATTCTCTCCATCTCTTGCAGCTCCCTGGACATCCTGGGATTCTTCTTGTTTCTGATCATCTTGAATCCTGGCTTCTGGTGGAGCAGAGCTCCCTTCAGGCTTCACTCACGGGAGGGCGGTGCTTCTAAGCAGTTCTTACAAATGAGGCATGTCGGTAGGGCCAGAACTGCTCCCTGCCTCAGTCTAAGAGGAGTGCTTCGGATTTGTTTCTGGTAGCTTCTAGCTTAGACTGAAGTCCAGCTGACTCTTGTTCTTCATGTCCGCCTTACCAGGGTTCTCTGGGCTGAACTTGAGGGTGAGGTGCTCAGCCAGCGGGTGCCACTCAGCCAGTTGCCTTGGGCAACTCTGCCCTCAGTGTCTGCCAGGGAGGTCCTTGAGATTCAAATGGAGGGAGAAGATGACATCTCCCCATTTGTGGAATTTCTACCCGGTATCAGTTCTAGGGCCTGAACTTCAAAAGGCTGGACTGTTGGGACACCCCAAAGAGTCAGACAAGTCCTGGCAGCTCGAAAGACCATTAAGCACTTGATCCAGTGATCCCTGCAGCACTTCAGCTGCTTTCTTGCGCTCTCGGCTCCTGAGTCCCGTGGGCCCTTTCTCTCATGACCCTGACAGACACCTAGGGCAGGTGTCTTCTTCCTGTTTCTGATCATCTTGAGTTCTAGCTGCAGCTGGAGGAGAGGGAGGAGACGCTGCTCGTTCCATAGGACAGCAGTGGTGCTGCGAGGCTGCTGGGTGCCAGGTTGCAGGACTGAGGACTGCGGACGCTTTGTTCTTCCTCCCAAGTGCAGCCCCTCTGCTCAGCCTGGGCACCAGCATTGCTGTTCTTTTCCATTTTCCTCATCTTCCAGGTTTTCTGGTTTGAGGTGACAACGGGGCACTTTGTCAGCCTGCACCAGCAGCCAGGTGCTGCCCTGGGTGTTGGTGCGTGACGGTGGGTGAGGAAATCCTTGAGGTGCTCCTGGAGGAGAAATGACACATCTGTCACCCACAGCTTCTGCAGTGGCCCGCATGGCTCTCCTTCCTCCTCTTGTATTCCTGCTGTCATCCTCAGCTACTCCGCAGTGACAGTTTCATGGCCAGCTCCCACTGCTCAGGCCCTGGCCGCTCCCCAGCACAGAGTGGCTGTCTTTGACATTTACACAGTTGTATTTCTGCAGGCTTCCAGGGAGGAAGGAGCAGCTTTAGGTATAAGAAAATGTGCTTCTGGGTCTCAGAACTGCTGTCTGCTCTCTTCTAGCTGAGAGTGCCATTTCTACAACATTCATTTCAGTCCTCAGAGCAGATGCAAGGCTGAGGGATACTGCTGTGGTGACACTGGTGCCCGAAGTACATTCAGCCACTTTTCTCTGTCTGATGAACATGATTATGAGCTACTGATACAGCCACTGCATGCGTACACATGAGGCAGTGTAAGTGGTTTTTAGCCAGCCTGCAGCCAGGAGGTGGTAACATTCTGAGAGGTCACCACCAGCCCTTACCCTGAGACAGGCAGTGTCGCCCTCAGAACTCCAGGAACGCTGGGGCAACAGTTGCTTTGTGTGTGCTCAGCTCCCAGCTCAGGACCCGGCTCCAGGGAGGCGCTGAGCAGGGCTCATTCAGTGAGAGTGCTGCACGTCTGTCGTTACTGCGAGGACGTTCTCCCACGTGTCCTGTCAGGGATGAGCTGCTTCTCTCTGGGTTCTGCCCACTCTGCCATGGCCATATATGTTCTGGGGGCTCTCGTCCCCCACTAACTTCTATCTGCTTCCACTCTGGTTTCTCGGAGTGGGCTCAGGACAGGCTCCTTTTCTTGTAGACAATTTTTTAAATTACAGAGCGAAATGTCTAGCAACTCTGCACAGAGGCTCTCACGCCAGTGCTTTAGTAATAGGCCGAAGTGGGTGGCAGCACGTTGAAGTCCAAGTCCCCGTGGCTGTATGCCAGCCCAGGCACAGTGGACCAGTGCAACCACTGCTCCACACGCACCTCCCCAGGAACAGGAGGCTGCACACGCCCAGCCTCACTGCGTGCCCACGAGCAGACCTTGACTTGCTTCCTGGTCTTAATGGCCAAACACAAGACACGATGAGTCTTGGAGCGGTAGAACTGTTCCTGCTGGAGGAAGCAGACTCCCTGTGAGGGCACAGCGGCTGCCACCCAAGGCCCCACCACAGCTGCTCTCCTAGCAGGCACTTACTTGATGGCCTCTCCTTGGCAGCCCCGTCCTATGCATCATGTCCCTCCTTGCTCGGGTGCGGTGGGTGGAAGTGGGCACCTACAGGGCAGGATCCCATTCTGTTCCTATAAAAAAATTAGGTCTAAAAATAATTTATATACCTTAAAATTGGTCCTTTTAAGATATGCAGTTTGGTTTTAAAGTATATTCAATTATATAATGATCATTACTAATTCCAGAACGTCTTATGACCCCCAAGCGAAAGCTGTGCTCCTCAGCTGTCCTCCCTGACTCCCTTCTCCCGCAGACCCCTGGCCTCGTGCTGGACCTCTCAGAAGTGTAGCTGCGTCTGGCTTTGTCAGGGTTTCAGCCACGCTGTAGAGCATGTCCGACCTTGCTGCTCTTACGCTGAACGATGCTCCGGTGTATGGATGTGCCACGTGTTGTTGATTGTTTTGTCAGTTTTCTGATTGGGGTTTTCACTTTTTGATAAGCACAAATACTGTTATGAACATTTATGTAAGTTTTGTGTAGATATTTTTTCATTTTTGTTGTGTACATAGGAGAACTATGGGGACACCAGGGAACTCTTGTGTTTAAGTTACTGAGGAACTGCCAGGCTACTTCTAAATGTGGCTGTAGTATTTTGTAATTTCACCAGCAGTGCAGAAGGGTTGCAG